CAAGTTCCATTAAAATGAATATATAATGTATTTACAAATTTGTTCAATTATTATCGCGACGCTCTATAATTTGTTGTTGCCAAATAAGCGAGACAAGTAATTTCGTTTAAGTGAAAAGTTATATTATAAGAAATACATCTATGGGCGAAGCGAAATTCTTAGCAACTTTCAACCTTCAACATCTCTGTAACTTATTCTTTTATAAAGCGAGATATTTGCTTTGCTCGTTTATTCTCTGAAAAGGATCTTTCACTAAAGTACGTTAAAAGTATCGGGAAACTTATTGAGAGTAAATTTGTAGAGTGAATGTGAATGTGACAAAACAATTTATTAATAATAATGAATGATGTAACAACATGTTTAATTTAACGCACTCTACTATATATCTTATTTGATTTTTAGCGACACATTATCCTCGATATTGGAACAATAGCAATCATAATCTTTGTATTATACACAGCAACTTTCAATTTATAACCAATACGATAAGAAGAAAAAGTATTAAAAGCTTTTTTTTTTTTTTTTTTTTTTTTTTTTTACATTCTTCTCCAACACTTGTATAATAATATTTTTTATAACAATTATATATATATATATATATATATATATATATATACAATGAACAGATAACTTTCGTTGGGCAACTAATGTTCACGTATTAATATGCCATTCATAATGAATTAAGTGATAATCAGTGTGGGGAGGGAGGCACGTCAAAGCTTTTAAAATTAAGTATAATTGTCTCTTTTTAAAAACAATAGCTCAACTTAAGAGCGTAGACGAATAAATTTCGAGAAAGACTGTATCCTCGCTTCGAGATAAAGATAAAAATCAATGTGCCTTCCATAAAATAAAATATCATTAGGCGATAGTAGATTCTTATAATTTGAATAAATTCGTACCCACTGATCGGACTGACGTTCCGTTCATCAAATCATTAATGGCCTTTTTACATTTGTCACGACGGGCGATGCATCTATCGCCCAGCCTAAATGAAAACTCCAGAGGCATTTAATTCGAGGAATTAGGTCGGGTCACATTGAATATTGAAAAATTGACGCGCTAATATCGGCCGAATAGCCCGAGGCGCCGTAAACTCGCGTCAATCATCAATCGGAGTAACGAGACGGAGGATCCTTGCGCTCGTCGTGACTCGAGCAGCGGCATCGTAATCGGCGAGCACCTGCTTGAACGACTCGCGCCTCCTAATAAAAATGCCACGCGCACAATGTTAATGACAATCGCGAAAGACGGATAACCAGCATCGGGCGCGCAATTAAAAAGTTTCTACCGCGAAAAGTACGCATTTAACACATACGTCGGAGAGCCACCGCAATCGGCCTTGGTTATTCGACCGCGTCCGCGTTGCCAAACGACTTGCGATTTCACATGGCGTGCACGGCAAGTCTTAACGCTAAAAGTTCGCTCGGTTTAATTACTTGGAAACAATTCGTGGGCCGCTGGAGCGACGGAGGACGAGAACGGTGGCCATGAAAAGCGGGTACCTTACAATTTCATTTAATGACTCTTTGAATTCTCTGGGCACTTTTGTTTTGCCGGCCCTCGGGGTTAAGGGCGGCTCACTGCTTGCCCGAACCTCTCGAGGAAGCGGGAAGCGGGAAGGGGAATTGGATGGGGAAGGGTATGGGGATGGGGGGGGGAGGGTAGGCAGGAAAATTGGCGCGTAATTAAAGAGTCTCGAGCAGCGGCAATAATCATTGGAATCATTATTGCGTTGGCTTTGGCTTCCCCCTCCCCCGCCCCTCCCCAAATCCTGTCCCATTACCCGTCACCCCATTCCCCCATTCGCCAAACGTTCGTCGACGGCTTCGCTAACATCGCGATTTTGTCTAGTGTATCGATGGCCGCGACACTTGGACAAATGGAATCGATCGACTTGAATAAATTACGAGCCCGGTATTTAGCAATGTTTGTTCGCACGATTACTTTCTTGAGGTGATGATTTGTAGAGATTCGTGACGAGGGTGGTAAGCTGTAATTGACTATGCATGCCGTTTATATATATTTGCGATAGAGTGAGATTCTAAACGATTTGATCGATTTAATCGATTTAAACGTGTCATAATTGCAACGATGTTTGTGCGAGTCTAATTGAAGTTAAATAAGGCCGAAAGGATGTACGTATAAATAAGTCAGCGTCGTCTTGCTTGTTCGTTCGGTTATTGCTTCGGAAATCTGTCATTCGGTCCCTATTCACATTACAATATTGGCATATGTTAAAGTAAGGCGTTGGTCGATTAATATTACGAAATAAAAAAATATTTATCGATAGTCATAAGTCATAAGCTAAGGTTGGAGGTAATCGTTGTTTATGATAATTCAAAACATTGAAATTTCGTTGAATTTCATTTACTGGATTATAATGGGAAGGAAATAATACAATCGGCCGTGGAAAAGTAAAATAATTCAATTAGTTCAAAGTCCTTTTAAATATGAGCAACATTTAATCAATCTCTATTGCCAATGAGAATAAATCCTCTATAATATAATTTTAATTAAATTTTCAATAACGTTATTAACAGCTATTGCTGTGATAAACATTTGTATGTTTCTCTCCTTTGTTTTTTTTTTTTTTTTTCTCCCAACAATTCTCTCTCTCTCTCTCTCTCTCTCTCTCTCTCTCTCTCTCTTTCATCCCTGCGACAAGATATTACAGATTTATGGCCATTAATTGACAATGTAGTTTTATTGATAAATTTGACATATTTAATGCAAACCATAAATTAACAGCGATACAACAACGTGTACTCCTTCCTTGTTGAATAAATTGATATGCAAAATCGAGAAAAATAAACTTGGAATAATTCACTTTATTCTTATTGAATTGAAAAAACGATATCGGATTAAATCCCGAAATAGTAATAAAAAAAAAGTAATAAATTTTCCGATTTAATATAAGAATCGACTGGGAATTTTCCTGTTCAAAATTTAATTTCTACTTTAAATGAAAATATTTCAATGAAAGGTGCAATATCATTGTACTTGAAATACAAAAAGTAACGACAAAACGTATCTACAAAAAAAGATGAAATAAAGAACTTAAAGGGTAAGAATAATTTTAAATAAATTAAATACTAAGATTCGCTCATCGTGTTATGTATTATATAATAGTTGAATAATGCGCACGTTTAGCAAATTTGAATATTTTGTTTTTACAATGACAAATATAATAGCAAAAGAGATGCGACGTGTACATGTAATTCTATGTGCGCCGAATAGAAGAAATGACACACGTTAGGTTAAAGTAATATAAGATTACATTTTTAATTCAACTTGAGAGCGCACATGTTTTTGCTTCGTTTTACCGTCCAGAGAGACAATTTCAATATTCTTTCAGAAATTCCGAACAAAATTAATATATAATTTATAAATGGATTTGACTAAAGCATTTTATGCGAGACTTTCTTCATTTTTTTGTGTTAAATTTAGTTTAGAGTATAAAATACATTTATAAATACGATCTCATTATCCGTTCTGTTTAATTATAGTTTTAATCATCTCACAGTCAATCAAATTATATTAAGTAACATCAATTATGAACTACAGCGTCGTATAAATTTATTATTTAGAGTATGACTTATTCATAGGGAAACTTGTCTCTCGATAATAACAATTACTGTTGTATCCCTGTATACACGCTAATCGATTAAACTTGACTCGGCTAATAAATGCCAAAATCATATCTCTACGTTCGAATGCAAATAAATATTTGATAGTTAATGAAGATTATTCTTTAATTAAGATAGTAAACGAAGATTATATATATATATATATATATGTAAATGATATTATTCATGGCGGAGCATTAAATTTCAATAAAGTACATTTGAAGGAGAAAGATTTACGTAAAACAGTCGAGTGTCAAGTCGGCATATTTTATGATTCAACGCGCGCATTAAAAACCTTTTGCTTCATCTTTTTCATGGCTCGGGCCAAGTTGAACTTGAAAAAAATTGTATTAAAGCTTTGATCCGACCAACTCGAGGACAAAGTTTTGCACTTTCCCCAGTAAGGAAAATTCTCTTATAACTACGGTGAGATTGGCAAGTTGTGAGGTATAAAGGAATGGAAGAGGATGGAAAATGAATGAGAGTGAGAGATAGAGATACAAAGAGAGAGAGAGAGAGAGAGAGAGGGAGAGAGAGAGAGAGAGAGAGAGAGAGAGAGAGAGAGAGAGAGAGAGATGACGGTGACGTAGGAAATGAGACGGGGAGAGCGAGTTAGACGGGCAGTTTGTGCTCTCTAAGTTTGTAACGAAGTAAGTTTTGACTTGCAAGTCGTAAAGCGGAAGCGCCTCGCGAGGGAACGTTCTAGCCAAAGTGGCTCGCTTTACTTCCCACCAAAACAACCTCGTGTAATCGTGCGGAGGGACGTTGGTGGTAGTCGGGTTGTTGAGGCAACGTTACAAGGTTATGAAAGGGTTTTGGGGGATGGGGCGGGGAGAGGGGGGAAGGAGGAGGAGGAGGAGGGGGGGTAGTGTAGTGGATAAGGGGCTGTTAAAAGGCTTCCGCCTATTATTCAAAAATCGAATAGTTTGCGCATCGTTCTATTCGGCCTCATCGTTAATTAACAGGCAACTCGCATCTGCTCGCATGCGCAAATGACGTGGGCGGAAAGATATTTCGCACACAGAGGCTAAACATGTTGAAGAGGGATAGATTGTAGGAAAATTCGTGATACTCGCTTAGCGATTAGTCGGTGTATATGTGTGCTTACGTAAGTAGACACGAGCACGCGTATATGTTTTCTTGTCGTCCCAGAGCGGGGCTTTTTCATCTCCAAGGGATAAGCGTATTTTGATTGACAATTACCGAGGTTCGAAAGACAATATGACCCCGCGAGGCCCTTAAGCCGCAACGACGAGTCCGGGAAATCTGATCCCAATGCGGCAAAGGCACGAATGCTTCTTCAATTTGTACTTTTTACAAGCTAGTCGTTATCCCGCCTCCGCTTATCTAATGTGATACGAGAGTACTTACGGTAAAGGGCTTGAGCTTCGAGTAGTCAACGAACTCCAGCCTCCTGTCCTGCATAAACTCGATGGGCGTTGCATCCTCTGGAAGCTCGGCACGGGCCACCAGAGGAAGGAATGTCTGCAAATGAATAAGAAAACGGGAGGTTGACGTTTCACGCTGAACATCGCGTTTTCCAGGCCTTACATTCATTCGCGCGGCAACGCTTCAATCGTTCGCCATTTATAAAATCATTGAGTTTTTTTTTTTGTTTCTTGTAGATTTTTGCACGATTAGCATTGACGAGGACGAGGGTTGTCGGTTCGCTTAAATGGCCTGTTAACGCAGCCTCGTTGCGACTGAATAATAACACGAGGCACATCGTTGAAGATTGAAAAATTATTTATATTTTGACAAACACCGAAACGAGATAGAGGATCCATTAGGGAGACCGAATTTCTATTTAACTTGCTTTCTATTCATTTTCCTCTTATTCGTTTACTCACGTACCTTATTTACGTATGTATTTTTATTCATTTAATTAATTGATCGCGAAGCATAAACTTAAACTTAACGTTGATTGAATATTTGCCAAACAAGAAATGCCCAATAAAATGTAATTTATCCAATTGTCGTATTAATTAGACTAGCCATTTTATTAATTACTATCGAATTTCTCCGTTCTAATATCGGCAGTTGAAAATAAATTTTTAATCATCCCGACTCGTATATATATATATATATATATATATATATATATATATATTTCACTTTTTAGGCTTTAATTGAACCGGAGGAGTCTCCTCTCTCGCTCGAGAGAGAAAAAAAAGGTAATTATTCGAGGTAATTGAAGGAGCGCATTTATCGTCAGAGCAGACATCCCCCAGACATACCGAACTTGGCCAAGGAAGTACTCATAAAGGATGTTTAATAGCTCGAATATTTTAAAAGGACTACAATGCGTAGTGAATATTTTACGCGCCTAGGGCCAAGCCATCTTCGATCGATCAAACGACAAATGTCCTTCGGAGGGCCTAATGGTAAAGGCCCCTTGTGCGAACAACGCGCCTCCTGAAACGACGATGGCACTCGTGAGCGCGCAACCTTCGTTATCCTTGAGATGTAAGAGAGAAAAGTAGCGGAAAAGTCGATAGGGGCCAAAATAGAAGCTGGAAAGCCGCCTAGTAGCTCGTGTCAAATACCCTGTCAAATAGGGAAGATACGAGCGGCGCTAATTAGTCATCGGCGTGCGTGTTCCCTTGGGACTCTGGGGCTAACTCCGGAAAAGCGGAAAAAACAGGGCGTGACTTACCACAGCGGGCCATGAGACGGTGCAAGCGGCGGCTTGGCTTCCGCGCAACGGTTTCCCGTTGATGCGCGGCTGCTGCTGCTGCTGGTTGTGATGGCTGTGTTGGTGTTGTTGTTGTTGCTGCTGTTGCTGTTGCTGATGCTGCTGTTGCTGCTGCTGGTTGTGGTGGTGTTGATGGTGATGATGGTGGTGCTGCTGTTGCTGTTGCTGTTGCTCCTGTTGCTGCTGTTGCTGCTGTTGCTGCTGCTGCTGCTGATGCTGTTGCTGCTGCTGATGGTGGTTGTGGTGGTGGTGGTGGTGGTGGTGGTGGTGCTGGTGGTGGTGCTGGTGGTGATTGTTGTTGGCGGCGTTGTTGTGATGATCGATGGCAATGAGGCTCGTGTGCTTGGGATCGGGGCGCTCGGACCAGCTGAGACCCTTCTCCACGAGGAAGAACGAGAAGACGGCATCCCGATAGGGTGACAGCCACTCGCGTCTCTGCCACTCGACGTCGTCGTATTCCACCAGCAGCTGAAAAAGCACCGATAAAGCGGATCCGTTAGTGCGAAGATTCATGGATTTATGGAAAACGGGGCTTCCTCGGGCTCGCATTCACAAGGGCCTCCTTGTCATTATTGATGACTTTCGCGTTCGTCATCGACTCGGTCTACGTAAGTCACTCTAATGTCACATTGGACACTCCTACTGCAAAATGACCGTAGTTTGAAATGTCGTAGGCTGACCGTTCATTTACGACAGTTAGCGAGAAGTTGGGAGGAGGCATTAGACCCATCACGGAGCAATCTTGTGTAAATGATTGAAATGGGCGGAGGGACGGATTGTGGGAGGGGGAGGGGGAGGGGTAGGTAGGGAGGTAGGGAGGTAGGGAGGTAAAAGATGGAGTGTGAATGGGGAGAAAAGAGAGAGAGAGAGAGAGAGAGAGAGAGAGAGAGAGAGAGGGAGAGAGGAAATTCGGAACTTCTTAATTAATACGAGGAGGGTGGATAAATGACGGGGAAGGCGCAATTTCAGAGTGACGATGCGAAAAGTCGCCTTAGCGTGGATAAATTATTCAAGGTATTTTCCTATTTTCATGGTCGCGGTGACGATCATTCTTTCATCGCATTCTTTCTTTAACTAATCGAGGAGCAAGGCGAAGTAATGAGGAAAATCCGTGAGAAACGAACTTTTCCTCATGTCATATCTGTGAATTGGTTCGTGCAGCCGATTTTCTCGTCGCCCCGCCTCCGCCGCTCATTTACGCTTATTAAAGTTAAACGAGTGAAAATCCTTGGAGCTTCGAGGTTCGTATTTCCAGGTCAAGCTTCTTAATTGTCCGAGAACCCAAGTGCTCGATAACTTGCACTTTCTGCATTTTCAATGCTACGAGCGTAAATATGTCAATAGTTCGTCAGACGCATATTTATGCCACAATAAAGTAAAGTTACATGTCGAGAGAGTAGAGTGATGGGCTCGATCGGTAGAAATTATCAGTTGAAGTATGTAATTATTATGTAATTGGCATCCTTATACGAAAGATGACCTCATTATTGTATTTATAACGATATTATAAAATTTATTTGTCTTCTTGCGCCAGCCATCGTTGCACCAGCTATCCTGGCAAATTCAAAATTCAATTTAAAGTCAATGCAGCTGGAAATGAAATATTTAAATACGCAGCCATTTTCAAGAGTCCAAAGACTGCGAAAGTGAATTTGAATGCCATGCGAGTTGTAATTGTCCTTAAATTTAACGCTAATTTAAACTGCGCGCGGGCAGATAAATAAAACAAAGTAGCAGCGTAATAATACTCTTTTTTCTTCTTTATCGAAGTTTATCAATGATAATAGTGACATCGTGAATTTGCGAAAATTAATTGATACGATTCATAAAGGATAATGGATAAACGTGACGATGCACGCATATTGTCGAAGTGACCGAAGCGTAAAATAAAAAATATTCAATTAATTTTTATAAGGGAATAGCGCAAATTGTCCGATCATGATAATAGCAACGAATTGTCTAGCTGCCTAATAATCGCGAAAATAAATGTATGAAAGAACGAATGATGAGTGAGAGATAGAGGAAGAGGTGGTAACGGCTATGGAAACTATAATGTAATGTAGAGTACATGAAACTAGAATTCAAATGTGTGTGCAATTCACTAGCTTTGGGTAAAGGCGTGGAGGTCGCGCGCGCGCGACTCAGAATTAAAGCCGTCACGCTGTCATGAATAAGTATGAAGAGTATAATCGCGATTATTATTATGCATAATTCATGGGGCAAGCGGGTGCGCGTGTATAGGTGTATATATCGTTGTCATTGAAAAGGTATGGGTGTCCGAGGGTGGGTAGCTACTATTCCGCTCGAGTAATACCGTTAAAGCATTTGGGGGGGGGGGGGGGGTGGTAAAGGGTTACGATACGCTGGATAACGAAGAAAACATTGACTTTTTATACTCCCCTCTGCTAAAATGATAACACGTCTGGTGTATCGCATTAAAGTTTTAGAGCGAGACGAATAAAACTGTTGATATGGCAAGGTCGCGAAGGTGTCGCATTCTTTAAAGAGCCGAAAAGTTATGGAGAAAACCGGCTGTTTAGCCGCTTACCATTATTACCCTTTCTCCCTTACCACCACCACGCAATTATTCATAATTTTTCAAGAACAATTAATTATGTCGCGCGGTGAATTCTTGGCACGAAAGGTCCTTCCCGAAATAGCGCCAAACTGTCCTGTCACAATGGCCCATTATATTTTAATGTATGAGAGGAGCGAACAGTAACTGTCTATTTTAAATAGAAGATGGAGGAGCAAAGTGGCTACTCGTCGATGGAGTACCGAGTAAAAATACACTGAAATGTAGGATAAATAAAAGGAGGGAGGGAGAGAAGATTTTGCCGTTGGCATTAAATTGACGTTTTGGTAGCGGCTACGTGAACGTTATTCTCTTTGGTCCCTTGGAAATTAATAATTCCTGGATAAATTTGAAAATACGCTCTCTACTTTTTTGTGGGTATCGAGACTTGAACAAAAAAAAAAAAAAACAAACAAAAACAAAACAAAAACAAAAAAAAAAACAAAAAAGTTTCCTTTACTCGATTTTGTTTTACTTTCAAATTCGGCACCGAAAATACCCCCACCAAACTTTGCGAAATTAATTGATTTGCCATTTTTCACATTGTGCTTTCATTTGAAATTATAAAGTCGAATCGAATGATTAATTTGACGTACGGACATTATCGATTTTATGTTTAAATAACACGACTACTTTGTATTACATGAAATAAAATGAAAGTTCGACTCTCGAGTCTAAGTATGAGATTTCTATGATGTCTTTCTCTACCAACAAATCTTCCTTACAAGTGCATTAAAAATTCATGTAAAACTTGTCTCTCAATGGGTTCAGATTACCTCAGGTTTCTTTATTTTGTTTTGTTTTTTGTTTTGTTTTGTTATTATTTTTTTTTTTTTTTCGTTTTTCAAGTATCAAAAAACCTTATTAAATTCCAAAATTTTACCCAAGCAAATTTTCATGAACAGTCTTTAAATATCGATCGATAAAATTTAATAATTCTGCCACATCGAGAAAGTAAAAAGTAAAAAAAAAAGTAATACCATACCAGTAATACCAAAGTAATATCACCAATACCACACCAAGTAAAAAAAAAATAACGTTTTTTTTTCTTGTCTTGTTCTCCGTATTTTCCCCTCTTCTTGTTTTAAACTTTTTTTCTCCTTCTAACGTATCCTAATCCTTGTGTGAAAAGCCAACGAACCAACTATATTTGCTCAATGATTAAATATTTATTAACGATAAAGCTCTTTATCCTTAAGAACACTAAGTCATTCGATTGGGATTTGTATTTTTTGCAACAACGAGCTGAGCGAAATATAGGTTTGGTATGTAAGGAATTCGATCGAAGGACAACCTTCTCTGCATAAATAATAATCTAAAATGTATTATTAATTAATTTGCAAAGGAATGAAAGTGCTAACGTCATTTGCAACAATAATTAATCGAGCAAATAAACGTAATAATAAGCATACGATATGGTTAACAATGCGATTAATCTCTTAGTTTATTAATATTTTATTTCGATAAATTGACTTAGAAAGTCGAGATAGGCAAAACGAGAGGGACGAAATAATTAAATCGCTGAATATAAATATAGTCGATCGCACAGAGCGCGAAAGAAATTATACCTCCGACCTATTTTAAAAATTTCATTCCACAATCTATACATTAGCAGTGAGATAATGAGAATTGAAATAAAAAGTATATTCAATTTACCATTAATGCACGGGATATAGGATGACTAAATTATTCCAATTGCCAAGAATAATAAACGGAAAGAAATCATTTACGCACGCATTTATTTATCTATTCTGGCAGATTAAAACTTTCACGGATTATCATTATGCAATTAAGCCGAAGAGTTTGCATTAATACATTTAGGCTACGGGCACGTAGGCGGACAAAAATGCAAAAGTTAACTATTAACGGCAACGACGAGTGTAACGCATTATGAATATTGTGGTACCGTAAGCGCGCGCTCGCAGATTAAAGGGAGAAACGACTTTAATCAAAGCGACTCGTCCACTCGATAAGATGTAAAATCAACAGGAGACGTGGAGCGAAGCGGCACTTTCACATGGACTTGGCGTCATTACCCAAGTGAAATTTACTCGGCCACTTAAGCAAACTTCGCGCTTAACCCATATAAAAGTATTACACGTGGCAGCATTTAGCCGGTAGTTAGGCCGATGTTATGCCGTCGTGACTTTAGCAAAATCAGCCAGTCTTGTAAAATTTACCGACGATTTGACCGTTATACGTGCGCGCCCCTTCTCATTAAAGCCGATTTTCTCTCGTAGCCGCGGATTAGCCTCGCGGAAGGTCGCCACGACGACGCACGTGCGCGGGACTTTAATTTAATCGGCCGCTTAATTAAATCGGCGCCGATAACGAGTAGCGAAAAAGCTCAACCTTGCACTTGAATCGCGACTATCGACTAAGCTTTTTCCGTTGGCAGGCTACGCGTAGATGGTAGGGAGGGACGGCGGGTGGACGGGGGAGATTTAACGAACGCTGATTTAACGCGATTAAAGTCGATCTGGCTTAACGATTTTTTTTTTTTTTTTTTTAATGTC